TGTGTGTGTGTGTGTGTGTGTGTGTGTGTGTGTGTGTGTACTATGCGGCATTTCAGGAGTGTCAGTTCGTTGAATACTAAAATCCTCACGATCATCGGGACAATACATAGGATGGTCTCCAACACGTATCATGCACACGACCTTACCCGGGTGCTGAGTTTATTTCGTGACGAACTAACTCATCTACAATACCCGAGGGGGATAATTCAGCTGGCTTTAGATGCCTTTCTACGAAACTCACCAGAAAATGAAGTAAAAACAGTGATGAAACTTTTTCGAAAAAATTGTATATAGGCACCAAAAATATTGTGAAATTCCTACGGTATCATATGCAGGAACCAGAAATCTGTAATACGGGAAGCGGAATTTTGAAGGTTGAATACGAAAGGACTACTGGGAGATTTTTGCAACACAGTGACACCTTAATCCTGTTGGACATAATTCTCTAAATTTTGGACCACTGGACTTACGGTGTGAAATCGGCAGGGAAAATACGAGTCGCAGGACACAGACGGGCAACAACAGCTAGACTACTGGGTACTGAAAAGCCTGTTATGAAGCAGGTGGACAGGCAACAGAAGTACAGTGGGGCTATAACACGCAAGGCTGAATGAAGAACAGGAGTTGAGGTACAGACTGGAGACGGGGAGATGGTAGTGACATGGGATGATTCCAGAGTAGATGGAGATAGAGTGTGTGGTAGTGTGGATTGGCACTTGTGGATTGCGAGCCTAGGACTACTATTTATCTACAGACAGTGGCTGTGAAGATCACCTGAGCAGAGAGGTAGAAGGGTGACCGCAATCAGGCCGATCCCATGCCATGGGCTGGAAGCGTATTCTGTGATAAGTAAAACCTCACACTTTTCAGTCTGATTTGCAAGTGTGTATCTCTACGCAGGGTACTTGGAACACACGGGTGGTACCCGTGTAGATCAGCACCTCATTGGGTAAGTAATCTGGCTTGTATCTCGTGTACGTGACGTGATTACGTACGTTCATTTTTTGTTTTGCTTTGGTTCATAGGTGCAGAAGGCGACTACTGAATGTGTTGGTATAGTATGCGATGGAGGCAGCAATGGTATTGGATCCTATTATTATTTTCTCGATCCGAGAATATCATCTTGGCGCTATCGTGGAGGTTGGAGCGATGTATATTGGAGACGTTTACATGGAATTTAATACTGTGTTTTGGACTGGATGCGCGGTGGATGGTATTATGTATGACGTTGTGGAATGCTGCGTAGTGGCGTATGATGACGGTATGTAGTACATCACTTGATGAAATTGTTGTTGTGCTGTTGCAAGTATAACGTGACAGGTGCCTGGAATAGCACGGGGTGATGGCACGATCACGCTCATCGGGGGAAAGGAGAAGACGGAGACATTCATCTTCATCTTCATCGGCATCATCCCATGGGAGGAAACGGTTTAGACTAGGGAGATCTAGATCGAGATCACCACATCGTCACTGTTCAAAGTCTCCATGGGTAAGGAGAGCGAACTTGGAATCACCGAGGCGGTTTGGAAGATGGCAACGAGAACCATGGTGGAATGATTTCCCACCATCGGAAACCGTGCGTGGTTTACCGCTGAGCTGAAAGAGGAGATTTTTGCCCTGCGAAAGGAAGTCGATCGAATGAAGAAGCAAGTGGAGAAGTTATACCTGAAGTTTGAAGATATCAAGAAAGGCGAGAAGGACCAAAAGGAGAGAAGGTGGACAAACCGCAAGAGAAGAAGATGGAGAACGCACCAATTACAGCAGGGCAAAAATCGATCGAATGAAGAAGCAACTGGAAGGGATGATCGATAAGGCTTTGGAGGTAACCATACCAAAGCCAACGGAAGGTGGAATAAGCAAGAGGGGCTCCGAGAAAAATGGGAACGTGGAGTAAAATTGGTGGGCGCAGCGAATGGCGAAGTAGAGCGGATGGCAACTAAAGTTCACGACATCAAGAGAGATATGAACGAGATGAAGCTCATGAAGTATTAGCTGGCCGCGATGAAAGGTGCATTGAAAAAGTTCAATACACCTACAAGATCCCACATGCCAAGGTTGTCATCAACATTTACTCCTAGGCCATCTGGATCGATCAAACCAAGATCGATTAGGATTGGGACACCACGGGCAGTAAAGGCAAGACCGACAACGAGTGCGCCATCAGTGATGAAGAATGCAAGGACCGTGAAGGCAAAACAAAATGTTAACTTTGGAAACGAACCGATCACAGAGTATCAGCTTTTGCGCCTCCGTTACATGGAACCGAAAGATTTATGCAGGATCCATGGTCTGAAATACAAGGATAAGCCATAGGCGATCGCAGCACTGCGAAAGATCCCTTACTCAGACTTGGAGACACAAATCAAGCATGTGAACGAGATGGAAGGATCATCCAGTGAAAAAAATGTGGAGGAATCAGATGAAGATTCGAGTGACATGGACGGCGAGGACTCATCCTCTTATGCTTGAAGCGAAGAAGACATTAAGGGAAGGTAGAGAAGTACAAGCCAGTTGAATATGGAGTAGGATGGGAGAAGTGGTCGTTGATGCATAGGTGTGCTTCTAGACTAGAACTGCTGGTTAGTACGGGAAGCGGGAATGAATGTTGTGCGGTTAACTATTTATACAGGTTGTTGCTTGTATCATTCCCAGTAGACGGGGAAATACCATGGGCTTCGACCTTTTTAGACATTTGGACAGCACAATGCGATAATATAGTTAACCTTATGCATGCGTCATCGTGTGTTTACGTGCTAATCTCACCCTGGTGCAGCCGGTAGTACGTTGGAAGGACAGGTAGACCGCCAGACAAGAGATGGACTGAACACGTCAGTCTAGCAAGGAAGAGACAAAAGGGGAGACAAAGGAAGTTGTACAACTGATTGAGGAAGTATGGATGAGAGAAGTATGTGTTAGAACCAATCTGGAATGGAAACAAAAAGGAACCTCGCAGTGATGGAAGAAAAAATAATTAGAAGATTGAATCCATACCTTAATACATGGGGAAGGTTCAGAGTAAGGAAAAGGTAAAGAAACGCAGAGGAAGGAAAGCGGTAAAGCGGGGGTATCAAGCACAATCAATGAAAAATATACCTGTTACATCAAGGCACAAAGAACAGGGTATACCATGAAGTTAATACCGCTGCTACAACCAAAGACGATGATAACATGCAAAGCTGAAGGATTATGGTACGAGAAATGGAAGGTGATTACGCGAATGTATGGATCAACAATCATCGAAAATAAGGGAATGCACTATATGTTAAAAAAATGTCGGGGCATGATGGAAAGAGGAAGTGTGTTCTGTATTATTAAACTGGTATATACTAGACCACAATCAAACAGATACCGAAACACCTTGATTTTAACTGCCTGAGAGCACCATGGTGCAGGAAATAACTCTACAAACTCAATCTTGATGCAATTTTAAATCTTCTTGCAAAAATTGGCTCAATTAACGGTAAAAAATAGCGAGGCTGAATTCTAAAAGTTTGAATTTAATATAAATCTAGAAGTTTGAATTTAATATAAAGAAAAAATTAATATTCAAGGTTCCATATGCTGCGTGCATAAACTTAAACCATATTCGAATGTTCATAGTTGAATTCAATGTGATGCACAAAAAGTTGGCAATAGGTCTTGTATCCAGAATGCGTGTTATGTTAAAGAAGTCCAAAACTCAGGGTTGGGGCCTCCAACAATTCAAGCCCTTATAACTATATGCCGCCAGGATTCCAACATGGGTCTCCATTGTCCTTACATTAGGACGCAGGTGTACTAAACATACGTACTACAACATAAGTCTTAGCGGCCCCTCTCAACTTTCCCTCCCCTTTTTCCTAGACAAACGCCGACTTCTCGTTAAGTGTCCCTAGCCTCTACCCTGTACGCAGGGTCATAACCAGGGACGCGGGCCTTAACCGGGACCTTTGAAGACACTCTTGCCTCCCTCCAACAATTCTTGCAATCAAACATATATATATATATATATATACATAAATCTCATCATAGACTCTTCCTGCAGTCTAGTACAGGAAGGTCAGGTCTCCATCTTGGCCCACCATAGTCTGGGTGATCGTGTCAGATCTACGGCTCACCGCGTTGTTATTTTAGCGGTAGTGTCCTCGCTGGTTGTGCCGCGATAGGCTTTCTTCTGATAAGCATCCAATCAGGGCTCAAAATGACTCGACTCGACTCCTATCCCACGCCGTTCCGCAGGAGTAAAACCCTCCTAGGTGGCCACACCCCTTTAAGTCTTTACTCCCTTGGCAAGACGTAGGCCCGCTGTTCAGGTTACGCCGATCAGCAGCCGATACTAAGGGGTTGCGCCTTAGTGATGCTAAACTTTACTGTTAGCTTGGTATTCTCATAAATGCCCCAAGATTAACACAAGTGGCTGGACGGTGTGTCGCAACAATACAGGCCTACTGCGGGACTACGCAAAGGTCTGTCACATATAAAAGGTATTTACCAGTCCTCTGTGGGACCACACAGAGAAACACGGTAACCTCTCCATATTCACAAAATAAAAATCACCGCCAGATTCATAAGGTCGTGACTTCCCTACTTGATCAGGGCAAGAAAGCCACCTCTTAGTGACATATCTCAAATGAACCATTTTGCGACCTCTTAAAAATATCTCCAATGGCCAAGCACAAACGTGATCCTTCTCGTCAGACTTTATCATTCAGCAATCCACTCACCATGCCATTAAATTTGTTAATCACCTTCCATATGAAGGAGGTCTCTCTCAATAGGCCTCCCAGTCATCCCTTCCCTCTTTAGGATGAACTTTCGTGCGACCTTTTATTAACATATTTCCCCACTCTGAAGATGAGTCTCCAATTAAGCACAAGACTATCCTCCCCATTTGAAGATGTCTCAACCATAAAACAACTCAAACTGAGAGATCAACTTATGGGTCCTCATTTGAAATAACAATAAACATTCGGCATGGTAAGCATCCGAGTCTCAAGGACTCATAAATCCCTCAGGATTCTCACACTTTTCGCAAAAACAGACTGCACTTCCTCTCCTTATACCCGGCCTTATTATCCGCTCACCGGCAAATCGCACGAGTATATTGAAGAGTAGACAGTTCATATTCATTCACTTTCACAAAACATACAGTATGTGAGATGTTTCTCATACATCTTCCACCCAAAATCATCATACATCAGGACAAAACCACACGTATGAGAGTGATTGTGATCGTCATACACAAAGAATAGTCTCAGATAATACTCAACTCAAGGACACACTCAGGGATGAGGTATCTCACCCCAAAAACACACATAATGGTCCATGATTATGATTCACTTGGGTCTACCCAAGTTACTCAATATGGTACATGGCCAATCGTATTATCACAAATGTAGCCGGAATGTACACTGATTCCGAAAATCAAAGTAAAAAAATACACACACTGAAACTTAATGGGAATCGTACGTTGTAATCTCCTATATACACTACCCACAGTGTAAATGTTTAGCTCCCGACAGTATTTAAGACAGAAAACGACCATACAAACAAGTATCCAATCTGATATATGGAAACTCAACTCTATCTACAATATCCTAGTGGCTACCTACACCTGGGCAAACCAGTCCCTACTCACTCATCTCCTCCTGGTTTTGCCTATACAACTGCGCTCTACCTCCATCAGCAGATCTCTCTACCACTCGGCCCTGTCTATCATACATCTTCCTTGCACTCTCTGAGACATTCCCTTCTGCCTTGTCTTTGAGGAACTTAGGGCATTCGGGGGCCCAATGTACGCCATTCTTGCAAAAGAAGCAGAGTTTGTCAACCTTCCTCTTGAATTTCTTCTTTCTTGGCCGCGGCAGAGGCGACGATGGGGATCCCACCATAGTGCTGGCGACCTCCGGCTGCTCTGACTCAGGGGTTTGCTCCCCAGAACCAGATCCTGTAGCCCAAGATCCCAGCCTAGTCCTCATATCACTCACTTCTGGAACGTACTCAGGCGTATCCAATCTTTGATGCCTGCTCTCTCACATCTCTCCTGATACCACCACCGGTAGCTCCTCGCTTACACTCTCAGTACCCAACTCCGACATAGGTGTGCTTGCTTCCTCCTGCATGGTGTCAAGTGCCTCTAGAAGCACACCCATGGGTCCCTCCATTGAACCTTGTGCAGGCTCACTAGCGGCTCCCTGTGATCCCGCTTCGCCTGGCAGCGGCGAGGATGTCGGCCTGACCCCCAAAGGTTCCACTGGTAAGGTAGCAAACTCCGTCGAGGCTTTGAATACGAAGGCTTCTTTCTCTGCTTCCCTTTTTGCCTTGGCCTCTTCTGGCCCCAAAATGAGCTTTCCAAGGGATGGCCCCTGGGAAGACCCTGCCTCAGATGGCTGCTCAGATCCCTGAGCCACCTGTTCCTGAACGTCGTACTGCGCCCCTTCCTTCTGGTCCACTACCTTCGTGGGTGCCCTTTCCTTCTTCCTTTCCTCCAACAGGCTCTGAATGATAGCGGTCTGGCTGGTGGCTAATGCCCTAAGGTCTTGGATCTCCGCCTGCAACGCTTCCAGGCGTACCCCATGACCTTCTTCCTTTATTTTCTTCCCTTCCACGTCACCCTCCAACATCAAATACCTGTCGAAGCTCGTCCTGGCCAGAAACCGGATTCTGCGATCTAGAGTTTTTTCCGCCTGCCTAGCCATCCTGAAACCAGCTCTCGTTGGCGACGTGAGTGCTTCGGACCTCTGTTCCCAAAATTCTCTCCACATGTCTGGAATCCCTGGGGCTTTGGCTGGTACGCTGGACGGTTGGTCTGGAAGTGGCCTTGCCGCCTCTAACCTATGCCTCTCCTTCTATATCTCCTCCAAGCGTTTGCCTATCCTGACCCTCTTCTCCTCAGCAGTTTCCCGAGGACGCGCTCTCCCTGCTACAGGGTGGATGTCATCCGATGGGACCTCAGGTTGCGCCTCCAATGGTGGCGGATGAGGTTCCTGCAGTGGCTCTCCCACTGGAACCTCCTCCAGATCGGGGTGCTCCGCAGCGTGCGCGGCCAGATACCTGTCCACTATAGAGACCGCCTCCCTCCTCCAATCTCTCTTCCATCTCTGTCTCTACTCTCACTTCTGGCGACTGAGTCGCGTCTGGAGGTAGTGGTGGTGCCTCTCCTCGCCGAGGTTCTCCGCCCTCTTCTTGAATATCCATTGGCTCGGCCTCCATTTCCGGAGTCGGGGCTGGCTGTTGCGGAGGGGTATCCTCTCCTATCTCGATCACCTCCTCTGCTTGCGGTTCTTTCTGGGCGTAGGGCCCGGTTTCCTGACCTCCATTGGACTGAGGCATTTCCCACTGCAAGGCGTCCAAGTGCGCTTCCAGGCTCTGTAGACACCCCCCAGCCGGCGCAGCCTCTTCTGACACCTGTAATGAAGGCTCATGTAGCCTTCCTTCACTGAAAGGCTCGAAAGCCACTGGGCCCAGTCCACACTCCGGATACATGCCTGGCTCCTGCGCAGGCTGGTCGGACTCCTCGTCTCTTCATGCCAGTGCCTTCCGTCCTCCTCGATTAGGGGCGGCCTCCCTAGGCTCAGGTTCCCTTTGCCTCTTACTCCTTTGCCGCCTCTCGACCCTAGGTTGAGGTTGCACTGGCTCTGGCCTCCGAAAGGCCTCCCTCAAGCGCGCCCTATCCCGGATCTACCAGGCCAATGGTCTCTCTGCTCCCCTCGTCCACAATGGTAGCGTTTGCACCCATTGGTCTCTCAAGATACCCTACTCGTGCATAAACCGCTCGAAGGTTGGGATAAACTCCTCCACATTCCCAATCAGGAGGCGGATCGGCTCCCCATCTGCTCCTACGGGCGAAGGCCTCAGCCTTTGCATTGCCTGTTCCACCTCCTGCCAAGTCCTCGCCTCCTCACAGATCCACGCAATGGGCTCTGCGAAGCGTCCTCTTCCCCTCAACCTCTCAATCATGCGGGTTACAATCCATCTCCTGCGACTCGCATAACTCCAAAAATCGCCCAAAAAGAGCTCTATGTCCCCATCGTCATACTCTGGCGTATGCTCTCTCTGGTAAGATCTATGCCGCTCATGTCCTCCTGATGCCCCCGATGGTCTCCTCGATGGCCGCATCTCCCTCCCTACTATTGGCATGACTGTCTTAGCAAAGTCAGACCTCCACGACAGGCGAAAGGAGACGATGGGCACACAAAGGAGTAAGCATACAGGTGGGATACAACAGACTCATGCCAAACCATCCATACACATCCAAACTTTATCCCTAACTCTTCTATCCTATCTAATAACCTTCGCACTCTTTCTATCACCTACGTACTACGATGGGGTTTTAAGCTTATTATCTCGCCTCTTCTCTGGCTACGAATTTCTTGAGTTGGGTTCCTGACACCCAATCCTTCCACTCTGCCCCATCCAACTCTTCAATCTGGTAAGCGCCAAACTCTCCGCATCGTATGATTCGATAGGGCCCTAACCACCTTTTATCAAGTTTTATGGACCACTGTTTTTCCAGAGATGAGTTGTACAACAACACGACGTCCCCCACCTTCAAAGGTGTCTTCCGCACACACGCCGCTTGGTCCCAACGAATTTTATCATCCATACGACTCCTTTCTACTTGACTCGATGCCTCCTAAATCCTTTCTTCAATTACCCCCACCTGTCGCGCCTGAATGCCAAGCAATTTTTCAAAAGACAGGTTGGTCTCTAGATCTTGGCGCCTCTAGGTTTTCAAGAAGCTCTCAATTGGGAACGTAGCATGCCTTCCATACCATAGTGTAGCTAACGCATACTTAGTGGTTCTTTTCACCGTGACATTCTCGACAAAGAACGTTGCTCTCAAGTACCTTGGCCACTGACTGGGTCTACCTTCAGTCCACTTAGCCAGCAGGTTCGTAATGGTGCTATGCCCTCGCTCAACTAGAGCGTTGGCTTATGGGTGGGCAACCGTGGTATAGTTAGCCACCACACCATACCCTTCCAACAATTCCCGCACCTCCTGGTAAGTAAACTCTGATCCCCTGTCCATCACGAATTCCTGGACAAAGGGATAACGTAGGTAGTACTCTTCGATGCAACTCACGAGCACCGGACCGGTTTTTGTACGGATGGCCGGCCCATCCACAAAACCAGTGAGATTATCTCGTGCATCGAAGATGTAGTTGTAGCCATGATCTCCGATCGGCATGAATAGCAAGTCGAGATGTACCACGGCCCCTACTTCCCTTACCAATCTCGGATGCAAAGGCTCATTTGGCCTTAAGGGAGATCTCTCCTGACAGGGCACACAGGATTGGCAATACTAAGATACCATCTTTATCATTTCATCCCAGTAATATAGCTCGCTTATCTTAGTATATGTGGCATTTACCCCTCGATGTCCTCCCGCAATGCCATCGTGAAACCCAACTATCACGTCTATCTGGCGATTCCTTCCACATACGACCTTTCTTGGGTTCCCTACTTGCCTTTTTACAAAGAGATGATCATCTCTCACCAGATAGAGGTGCTTCATTCTCTGGCTCTTTCGCTTGCATCCCTAGTTCTTATCTCACATGATAGCGGGAGCCCCAGTTCCAAGTAGATTCCATCATACTCCTCTGTGCGGAAAACCTCTTTGATTTCTCCTTCTTCAAACTCGTCATCCTGGCTTTCTGGCACAACATCTTTTCCTTCAATCGGATTTAACGAGCCTATCAGATCAGAGGGTTCCTGCAGAAGTGTATTGATGAGGAAGTATACTCCTCACATCAATTCCTCGTGCCTCCTTACCCGGTCTAGACCTTCTCCTTACCCGGTCTAGACCTTCCTCTATCGTCCTTACCTCCTCCACCGAATTATGATTGCCTGCGAGTGTCAGCTTCATCATCCATTAGACGTCCTTGCCACCCCAACGGTCCTCCTCTTCAAAAGGCTTGAGTACAAATTCAACCTTCTGTTCATATCCCTTTGGCGCATGCCAAATGGGATAACCAACGCAGCTAGGCACTCATGGAGACCCCTCATTAATGTGAAGGTGGATGTCTTCCTCATGGTCCAAAAAAACATCAATTGGGGGCGTATTTTCTATTACCTCCCCTTCCTGCTTATCTCAGTTGATGCGGTTTAGCTCATATGCTTTATTCTTACTCCCCGGGATCCGCTCCAGCTCAAAGTTGAACATCCAGATGTATGCTAGTCACTTGGCAACCGTTGGATCTGATGGAACGTAATTTCTTAGGGAAAAGGCTAGAGCAGTCGGATCCACCCTCAATATGAACCTTCTGCCAAAGATGTAGTTTCGAAAAATCCGCAGGCAGTGAAGGACAGCGAGAGTCTCCCTCTTAAACTGCGAGTAATTCCTCTCTGTCGTACACAGAGTTCGACTCTCAAAGCGCAACGGTCTCTCCTTTCCTTCAATATCTGTCTGGATAAAAACTCCACCCAAAGCAGTTGGTCCAGCATATGTCTCAACAATGAACGGCCTCACCTTCGTGGCGTCATAGTCCGGTGCCCCTAACACCAATCCTCCTTCTCGAAACTCTTCTTTCATTCTTGCCAGTGCCTTCTGGCCCTTCTCTTGATCTTCACCCCAAACCCATTCCTGATCCTGACGAACCAACTTCCTCAATTGTTTTTTCTTAGCAGCAAAGTTTTTGACGAAGGTCCTCCAAAGTCCACATGTGCCAAGGAAGCTCCTAACATCCGTTATCGAATGAAATAGTACTGGTCATTCAATAATCTTGTCCGTCTTCTTAGCGTTTGGCCGGTGGCCACTCTCACTATAGACGAATCCGAATATGGTAGCTTCTCTCATGCAATGCCTGGATTTGGCTCCACTAGCCGTAAGGTTATGTTCTTCAAGCAACTTTAGGACTTTATCAAGGTCCTAAACACGCTTCCAGACAAAGCGCCTTACTCATGCCAAGACTTCATCGTCCTCTCTCTTTCCCGGTCCCTTTACTGCCAAGTCATCAATATATGGTTGTGTAATATGTGGACTAACCGTTTGCGTGACTCGAATCATATGCCTCTGAACCATTGCCATAGTGTTCATCCACCCTTGTGGAGCCACATTCATATGAATAAACCCTCGAGGCGTATGCATTGTTGTTACTGGTCTGTCTGACGGATAGACCGAAAACTGGTCATATCCGGAATAAAGGTCAATGAGCGAGATTATTGGTCTCCCAGGATATGACTCTGATAGCGTATCTGCATTCGGCAAGTCTCCTGCATCCCGCACAGTCACCGCATTTAGCCTTTGCAGATCCTGCACCCATCTCAGCGTCCCATTCGGCTTGATGAAACAAAACTACGGAGACGTGTATGACCCGCTCGAATACTCGGCGACGTGCGTGCGTATCTTGTCATCGAGGTAATCTACCACCTTCTTCTTTTCATCAGGATTAGGATATCGCGCCCCTCTTAGGTTTCATGGCTCATGTGGCACAATATGGATGCGGATCATAGGAATCTTGTTTACATCCAACCTGTCGCGTTCCTCATCGTTGAACGCATAGGCGCGATGTCTTTTCTTGATTAGCTCTATCATTAACGTCCTTTCTCGGGGCAATAGGAAATCAGGTTCTCCAATTATTAGCTTCCCTTCGTTCCCCTCGTTGATACGACATAGCCCTACTGAGGCGTTCTCCTTCATCTGCCGTATTAAAGCTCGTTCCTGCTCGTAATATACCTCCTCATCTTCGGTAACGAGAACGGGAACTGGGCGACACTTTTTATCTATCGTTTTGTACCGCCTTTGGGAACCCTGCTTGAGCCGTCCCCTAAAAAAGTCCGACTAGCCGTTTGTGTCTGTGCCTGCGCCACAACGAGGTCCCTTCTCCCTCTTGGAAGTCGATAAACCAACTCCATCTCCCCTGCTTGGGGACACTCCAGGACTTGTTCCCTCAACACGCCTGAATGACACCCGAATCCGTCATTTCATGCGTCACCACTAAGTCCATGACCTTTTTCACATCAGACAAGCTGAGTGAGAACGCTTCTTCCCTCACTTCTCCCTTTAGTTCCGCCATAAGTCTCCGACGCTCGTCTTCTGACTCCTCAATAGTGAAGGAGTCAGGATTGGGCTTGTTCCTTATACTCCGTGGTCCAGTGTTTCGACACGTAATTACCTCGTAATTCCCACACGATGGATCACATAAAATCAGGATCAGCGACCCATCATGTTTGTTGAACATCAGGGTCTCGGTCCTGCATAAAAATGATATCCCAAGGAGAATGTCATGGTCCACGTCTGGTATTACGAAAAAACAAGTTATGGCTTTTACTCTTTCGATGTCCAGGAGTACATTCGAGGCGGTCCCGCAGAACACGGCCTTACAGTTTGCCCTGTGCAAAATGCCGCAATCCAAACGGTTTATTTCCAACCCAAACCTGAGTGTGTCAGCTTCGCGGATAATATTCATCTCTGCTCCCGTATCCACCATCGCTGCGCACTTGGAACCTTTTACCACTAAGTCCACCATACCGCAGGCCACACATTTCCAGTCCATTTTCATTCCCGAGTCCGCCCACTCCACTTCCTTAGGCAGAATCACACTAAGATAAACGTTTGGCACCAGACGTCTCGAAAGCCTACCCTTTAGCTCATTATGGAGCCTTGGGGCGGACGCCAGAATCTCCTTCAGGGTCATAAGATCATTATGGCCCTCAAGCAGCCTGTCAATCACCCTTTCCACATCAAAACCTTCCTCAAGCTGAACCGCGTATTTCTTCTTTTTTGGCGTACTATCGTGCAAGACTGGTTCGGCTTCTTCCTGGCAACCCCTCTTCCTTGCCCTTTGTTCGGCCCTCCGGTCTTCCTCTTGCCGGAGCCTCTCATCCTCTCCATCTTCATCATCATCGTCCCCTACCTCCACAGGCTCCTTTCTGCGTTCTGGCTCTGGCTCTCTCTGCGGGTCCTGGCTCGCCCCTGCCTTTGCCTGTCCCCTAGTCCGTGCGGCGATTGCGGCTCGTGCCAACGGAGTAGGGGGTCTGTGGGTCATCCCAGACCTAGGCCCTGAACTCACCGTGGTAACTCCAGGGTATCCTTGCCTTCCTGGCATAGATTCAGGACCTGGATCGTAAAGGAAGACCTTAGGGATACCAGCCTTTCATGTCTCTACCTCTTTGCATATATCCGTCAATTTTTGCCGGTATCGTGCCATCTTATCCCACAAATTTTCCATCTTTCCCAAAAGGACAGACACTGGCTCCACCTTTTCACCCTCACTCTCATCGTCTGACTCTATGACTATAGGTTCTTCCTTTATGACCCCCGCCGGTAGTCTTTGAGTCACCTCCTTATCGCCTTTCACTTCTTCTACTCCTATCGGCGGGTCATCCTTCTCCTGCCACAATCTGAAAGTGGCAGGTGGTGCTTGTCGTGCCGCTGTCCTTCTGAGAGCTTCCGCTTTCACTCCACCTAGGACTTTCCTGTCAATATACTCCCCGAACTGATCATATATATCCCCATCCATATTTGAATAGATCAGTCCGATCCTTTCATCCTCTCACCTTTCATTGCAGAATCGTATAGTATGCCCTTGCTTATCGCAATGCTGGCATATGGCGGTCCTCCAATCAAAACGGGATCTTCCATACCCCTGACCTCCTTGATTCCCTTGGCCTTGGTAGCTTTGGTTATCTCAGCGCTCTCCTCCTCGGCCTCCGCCGTTTCTGCCGCGTCCTCTTTCGCCACCTCTCCCTCCATTCCCTTGGTTACCCTGACCCTGGTCTCCCCCTCCTGCCACGCTACCTTGTGAACTCGGCGCGGGCGACGGAGGCGGTACCATGGGCTGGGCCTGTGCCGCAGGGTAACTTGGTGGCGGCATACTCATTTGGGGCCCTGCGTATGGTATCATCTGCCCAGATGGGGCCGGGCCTCCCCATGGCACAAAAGTGTTGAACACAGGCCATGGCCACTGCCCGAATGGTGGTACCGCCGCTTGCGAGGGTCCCGCACTACTTGACGGTGCCGACGCACTTGGCGATGCTACTACCACTGCTTGGGGCGCCTGCCCCTTCCCTGAACCTTGCCCCCCCTTGCGTTAAATTGCGTTGTTTTAGTAGCGCCTTTGAGAGGTGTTGGGACACTGACTCTTCTTCTTCCCATTCTTCCTGAATGACCTCCTTTAGCACTTGGTCCTTTCCCTTTCCCTAGACCGCCGTCACTACCTTCTTTTGTATCACCGCGTCCTTTCCATAGCCTAATTCTGTGAGCACGTCGGTGACAATCCTCCTAACTCCTGGCGTCCCGGAGGCTGTCGCATCCCTTTCCTTCCTTTTCCGCTTTTGCAGGCGCATCTGGTGTTGTTCTACCTGGTCCAGACTTCCTTCCTCGACCCCCTTGTCGATAGTGGCCCAGGTGAGCTTTGCACTTCCCCCTCCATGGCTTGTCAATTTTGATGCCTCAGAGGCAGTGAGTAATCCGAGGAAAATGGCACACCGCGCTTCCTCAGATATTCCACGGACTTTCCTCGCCTTCTTCTTAAATTCCTGCACAAAGGCTCCAACTGTTGTGAAATCATCCCTGTTCATGACCTCCAGGTCAGCAGTGGTTAATAGGTCGTTGCCTAGCCTGTACTTCCTTTGCATCCCATCTTTAAACCTCGCCCAACTACCATTGGCAGCGTCCACAACCTTTCCCACTTCCTGATGATGCCCATGAAGCACTTACTTCAGAATTCGTTGAAACTTCACCTCGTCTGACTGTCCCACCATCGCTTGTTCGACCAGATCCAACCAGTCAGAGACCCGCTCTCCATTGAAGTGAAAAGTATCAACCTTAGGAACGTTACTAAGCGCCCTTTCTCGCCTGTCCAAAACTTGGATGAGATTATCGAGGGTCAGGACCTCTCCTGAACCGCCTACCACTGCCTCAGGCATTTTGACCAGCGGTCCTTGCTTGGCTTCCTTGTTATAAGAAAGGACAGTACTTCATTCAGTCACTTAACTTATCATAACCCCTTCACTTATGACCCTATCTTCTGGCAGATAGGGTCTGTTTCTTCCTCAAGACATACCATACAGTCCTTCCTTTCAATCACCCAGTCAATCCACAGGTCAAGACCATACGTGACTATTGCTTACACTAATAACAAGGCAATCCATCATACATTCCATCTTATCAATTCATTCAGATTCCTCATATATGCCTGATTTTCTCTCAATCTAATACCCAGATGTCGTTCCACCAGGGACAACGGTAGGCTTCCGTTATCCCCGGCAACGGCACCAGCTGTCGAGCGCATCGGTCTGATACCACTCAAAGGCAGCGCGGGACCCTTCCGGCCGCGTCACGCAGGAGTTGGTTTTAATCCTTCTTCGTGAATATACATGAAGCTTCCACAAGCCGCTCCGGCCGAGTGCGCCAGCCATACCTCTCGCGAGCCCCTACGACATGATAGGGCTTATGTGAGGCACAACTTACCTCCACCTTACGGGAGTTGTCACCTCCCTTCAGAGGGCGTATCCCTGCCGAGCTACCAGTCCACAGTACGAAAGCTGATCAGCTGCAATCGCAGAGGTGGACCAGCCGAGGGCGTTTCTCGTTCGCTGTAGCATAGGGGGTAAGCGTGGTATTACGTCTCTATCGGACCCGTACGCGAACCGACATCTTGGGGGGGCTGAGGTCCCAAGCGCGACTCGTCGCCGGTCGACTAGGACGCATCCCACACGCCACGAGCACATCGCTATAAAAACATAAAAATAACTACACGTGCACACTTACACACATATACAAAACGACACTGAACGAACAACGCGACAACACTCCTAGTCCCTTAGTGACCATCCCATAACTTTCCGATGCGGAAATCGGATAGGCGTCACGCGCGAGACTTGGTATAAAACCGCGCGGACGCAGGGACCTACTCATATCGACTAGCAATGCAATCATACACAAACAATCGCAATGATGACGTATTATGTAGTGCCCATAATCAAGCGGTCCCTCGTGGATCGGAGTACCTCTTATGACACTCAAGTGTCAGACTCGAAGTATCGTGAAGGTTTGCCCCTTCACGATATTGCACGGCTGAAGGAATAGCCGTAAGGTCGTCGCGGCACCTCCGGCCTTTAGGCCGAGTGTCTCGGCAGGCAGGGCAAGTAGGCTCTGCGTGGGGGAAGATCCCTTCCATGCAGAGTCTAGGGTCTGGAATATCCTGGACAAGGACCTCGAATCCAGGCCCGGGACCAACGTCCGACTAAGAAATCTTTTAAGAAACATTCAACAATAACGTGTGGGTTTCTTTCTTTTCTCAATCTCAACCCCTGTTTAATCCTTAGACGTGGGACCTCACAGGTCATGCGAACACCCAACATAGATCCATACGTATATAAGTATGTAAGGGGGAATAAGTATGTGACGATCACTTCTCACAATCACAGTGAGACTCCTCACAGCCATATATTTAGGTGTGATCGCAGACAGTCAAATCCAAAATCTGAACCACAGATCATATCTACAATCACATCAAAGAGTCAACAAAGTTCACGCACTACACGGAGTCAACTCCAACCAATCTCTACACTCATACCCCTCGCTTTAGTCATGCAAGCCCCAACTTTTGTCCAACCAACCATAATTAAATACTCAGTACCTTTGTTAAATGACCATTCAATAAAAGTCCGGGTGAAACCTTAATAAAACAATAAAATTACTAGGGCTAAAGACTTTTAGGTTGAGTATTAAGGGTGAATTGCAGTTGAGTCGTAAACCGACGAATCGGCAACCGACCTGTTATCAGTGATAACAAAAGGTGATCCTTGTAGGATTAAGTTGAATCTAGTCCTGATTTCGAATCAAATGTTCAAGAGGACCTGTAACACAAGACAAACCAATCCAAGCAAAATCTATGAGTCCAAATCGAAAGCAATCTCTATATTATAATAATTCCACCAAGAGTCATTTTACTTAACTAATCCTGAGTCTACCCCTAAACCAGTGCCTAATGGAAAGGTAGATCCTTGGCAGAATCTTCTTTACACAGAGTGGACTGCCAGAATTGCCACCTATCAAAATACAATCTAACTCCTCTAAACTAATAAAATTTCGGTAACGCTTCCCGTATGGAAAGCGCCTTTGCAGAATTTATAATAATCTAAATATGAAAGTAAAAATGATCCCTAACTTTGGAAAGTTAAAATTTGTCTAACTCCCTAAATTAGCAAAAATTTGGGCAGCACTTCCTTTAGAAAAGCAGACTTCCCAGATTTGTACTAAGTCAGATATGAACTCAGAATCGGTACATAAGTTCAACTAAGACAAAATTTGAATAACTCCTTAGATTTGTAAAAATTTCGGCAGCGCTTCCCGTAGAGAAAGTGTTATTCTAAGACTTATACAAAGCTAAGTTCAGAATCTAAAATGACTTTGACCTTTCAAGGTCCAATTTTGTCTAACTCCCTAAATTAGTAAAAAATTGGGCAGCACTCCCTTTAGAAAGAGACACTTCCCAGATTTTTACTAAGTCATAGAAGTCAGACAAGTTGAAGTTTGAACGACAAAATCTGACTAACTTCTTGGCTTTGTAGAAATTTTGGCAGCGCTTCCCGTAGAGAAAGTGACTACCAAAATTTATACAAGACCAAGCAGGGTCACCAGCCCGTACGTACAGAGGTCCCCGGGCAGACCTCCGTACGTACGGGCGTTCGGGGTCCCGTACGGGGTCCGAACCCGACGGCGTTCGGCCCCCGCCAAAACTTATTTCGGGGCCTCAAAATATTTATTTTTTGCTGAATGTTTTTTTGTGAATTCTCTATGACGTGAGGTACATGCCTGTAAATTTTCAAGATTTTTGGCTAAGCCAAATAAGAATTAAAAATCGCCAAAGATGGTGGTGTCAAAACGTGCTCGCCCACGTATTTTTTCACTTTTTACTTTTTGTTTTCATTTTAGTTCGGGGTCTAAACAATTTTATTAGTTTTTGAAACTTTTTTAGTGAGTTTTGTATTATGTGAAGTACACATCTGTAAATTTTCAGGGCATTTAGCTATGCCAAAAAAAAATAAAAA